TTTTTTTTTTTTTTTTTTTTTTTTTTTTTTTTTTTTTTTTTTTTTTTTTTTTTTTTTTTTTTTTGTTTAGAAAGTTGTGGAAAATTTTTTAAAATATTAATGGTTGTCGGGTTTTTGGTGTTAAAGAATTAGTGTTTCATCGTTGTTTGTTTTGTTATCGGCTTTCTATTGATGTTTTATAAAAGAATAAACGAAAAAAAATTTAGATTTAAAACGTTTCTAAATGGATTTAGAAATTAAAATTTTTGTACGTTTTTTTCTTTTTTTTGTGTTAAATAATTACGAGGTGAAGCTTAGAAGATCGAGCTGTGAGATCCCATACTGTTGGGAGGAGAATGAGATTTGTTATAAGAGTTTGAAAACCTCTCTCTAACAAACATGTTTTAAAATTGTGAGACCATGGAATGAGTAATTGGCTAAAGTGGACAATATTTGTCAATGGCCAACTTGGATTGTTATAAATGGTATCAGAGCCAAATAACGAGCGATATGCTAGCGAGGACACTGGCGCCCAAGGGGTGGATTGTGAGATCCCATATCGGTTGGAGAGGAGAACGAAACATTCCTCATAAGAGTATGGAAACCTCTTCTTAACATATGCGTTTTAAAACAGTGAGGCTGGCAACAATACGTAACGGGTCAAAGCGGACTATATATGTTAGCGATAGGGTTAGGCTGTTACAAATGGTATTAGAGCAAACGCCGAGTGACGTGCCAACGAGGATGCTGGCCTCTAAGGGGGTGGATTGTGAGATCTCATATCAGTTGGAGAGAAGAACGAAACATTCATTGTAAGAGTATGGAAACCTTTCCCTAACATACGTGTTTTAAAACAGTGAGACTAACAACAATACGTAAAAGGTCAAAGCGGACAATATCTGTTAGCGGTGGGGTTGAACTGTTACAAATGGTATCAAAACCAAACACCGAGTGACGTGCCAGCGAAAACGCTGGCTCCCAAGGGGGGTGGATTGTGAGATCCCATAACAGTTAGAGAGGAAAACAAACATTTCTTATAAGAGTATGGAAACCTCTTCCTAACATACGCATTTTAAAACTGTGAGGCTGATAACAATACATAATAGGCCAAAGCGGACAATATCTGTTAGCCGTGGGGTTGGGTTGTTATAAGGTATCAGAGCCAAACACCGGGTAACGAGTCAGCGAGGACGCTGGCCTCCAAGGGGGTAATTTGTGAGATCCCACGACGGTTGGAGAGAAAAACGAAACATTTTTTATAAGGGTATGGAAACCTCTCCCTAACAAACGCGTTTTAAAACCGTGAGGTTGACGACGACAAGTAATAAGCCAAAACTGACAATATCTAGTAACAGTGGGCTTGAGCGGTTACACGAACCGTTTATTTATTATTATTTGTGGGGTAAATTCTCTCCAAAAATAAACAAAAGCTTACGTTATGGTGCATTTTTCAGGGCCTGTGGCAGAGGATATGTTCCATTGGCAAGCAACCATTCTTGGTCCTTGTGACAGTCCCTATGCTGGTGGAGTTTTTCTTGTTACCATTCATTTTCCTCCTGATTATCCCTTCAAACCTCCTAAGGTAAGCCATTTGTAGGGCTTTCTCCTCTCGTTTAGGGTCGGGTTTGCATAACTTTTAAAAACGTCGAGTTTAAATTCGAAATTCAAACACTATTAATCGCAGGTTGCCTTTAAAACGAAGGTGTTCCATCCCAACATAAACAATAACGGTAACATTTGCTTAGACATCCTCAAGGAACAATGGAGTCCGGCCCTCACAATATCAAAGGTTTGAATCGTAAATATTATTTCATCATAATAGAACTGTTTGGATCGCACGAGTTAAAATTGGGTATTAGCTGGGACATTTTTTAGATCAACTCAACCTAATCTAACCCGATTGTTCGGTTGCAAATTTTTTTAACGCAAACAACTCATATTACCTAATGAACTCAACCCAATCCAACTCATGGGTTATTGTTCCAGACATTTATTTAAATTTTTATTTTTAATAAAAGTATTATTTATAAATGAAATAATTCTACGGTAACAAAAAAAAAAAAAATTAAAAAATTAAAATCAATTCAATTCATAAAATTTTTATTTATTTGAACTCAACCCAATTCAAATAAGTTTATATCCGAACCCAACTCACGGTTTGGGTCAGGTTGATCAGCTTTTTCGAGTTATCGAATTCTTTAAAGAACCCTAATTCAAACGAATGATTCAAAATATTATTATATGAAATCCATTTAAAAGATCGTTAATTTTTGAACCCTTACAATTTTTCTTTTAATCTTAATTTGATTCATGTCGATACTCGAGAACGTCGAGCTTTATTCTCATTTATCTATTTATTTATTTTTGGTTGTAGGTTTTGCTCTCAATTTGCTCACTATTGACTGACCCAAACCCTGATGATCCACTGGTTCCTGAGATTGCTCATATGTGCAAGTCTGATAAAGTCAAATATGAATCCCAAGCTAGGAGCTGGACCCACAAATATGCAATGGGTTAACCTAATATGTCACAAAACTTTGGAGCTTCATTATAATATATGAATCATTTTCTATCGTATAATTTCACTTTAATCAACGAATAATAAAACGAGGGTAACACCTTTCGGATACTAATTGTATCGAACGAAAGCATGTTAAGCCCTTCACACGAGTTAGGTTGTGGTCGACCAGACTTTAGGTGGGTTATAGTCTAATTTAGGTTTGGTTACCTACGACTAGGTCAAATAGACTCGAGTGGTTAAAACTCGATACGAGCTTAGTTTGGCTCAGGCTCGATTGATAAACCCTAAACAAACTTCATATAAATTAAAAGAAAAGACGGGCATTGTGATGTCTCATATTGGTTGGGGAGGAGAACAAACTACCATTTATAAGGGTATGGAAACCTTCCCCTAGTAGACGCGTTTTAAAGCCCGAAAGAGAAAGCCCAAGGAGAACAATATCTGCTAATCCTAATTTGAATTAGCCACCGTTTTTTACGAAAACGAAAATTGAGTCTTCCCAATTAGTGTGTTTATTTTGATTTTTCTTGTAATTTTTATTTTATATAATTAGAATTTTATTCGTATAACCTAATTCCTGGTGCATAGAAAATATCGAGCTCTATCGTTAGAGGATTAAAAAATTATTAACTATCCACCCGAGCGTAGTCTCTCCCGACTAATACATTAAAAAAAAAAAAGTGACTTTTTTTTTTTATAAAATACGACGGGACAATTTTATCAATGGTGTGTTAAAACAACTCATTGGTAGTGTTATTTGTTGTAGCTATCGAAACCAAAGTATTGTTATGTTAGCGTATAATTAGTTATTCGGGAGTTATGGCTAATTCTTGTTATTATAAATGGAAGGCTCCGTGTCTATATATTTCTTGCAAATCTTCTTTCTCTTAAACCCTAACCAAAACACGTACAAGAATTAGAAACCGAGCTCGTTTTGTTCGGGTTTTTTCTTTCCTTTTTTTCCTATGGATTGTTTCATTGTTTGTGGCACATCACGTCACTTGACGAGAATTCAGGCAAATGAAAATAAGAGAACAGTAAGGAAAGCCGTAAGAGATGGCATCGTCGTCGATGAGACGCCTACGACGACAAAAGGCAAGAAATGGCAACGACGTCGGAGACGGGTGGGCGATAACGAGAGAAAGATGGCGGCGGAGGAGACGTCGAGACTACAACGAACGGACGGAGGGAGAGTTGAGTCGGGTGGCTGGCTTGCAGCATGGTTGGAAGAGGCTGAAATGAAGGAGTTGGAGAAGGCGCGTGCAAAGGGTGGAGACAATTTAAGGGGTTGAAGGGGTTGGCTCATATTCTTTACATTTTAATTTCTTTTTAAAATGGATATTTATAATTTTAATTATTAAATTATAAATTTAATTAAAATTAAATAAAGTTTGTTTTGATATTTAAATTAGGAATGTTTAAATAATAAACTTTATTATTTTTTTTAATCAACATTAAGTGAATTTTTCTTTTTTTTTTCCACGAGCCAATATTTTCTTATTCTCCACTAACGTTTCGAATTGTGATGTCCTACATTGGTTGGGGAGGAGAACAAACCCCATTTATAAAGGTGTGGAAACCTTCCTCTAATAGATACGTTTTAAAGCCGTGAGAGGGAAAACCCAAAGAAGACAATATCTATTGGTGGTAGGCCTGAGTCATTTCAAATGGTCCGGACGATGTGCCAACCTTCTCGCTGTTCCTCGAGGCGATGTGCCAGTAAGGACATTGATTGGAGGAAGAAAAGAGTGTCAGTGAGGACGCTGAGTATGGAAACCTTTCCCTAATAGATGTTTTTTTAAAGTCTTGAGGGGAAGTCCAAAGAAAACAATATCATTTGCTACCGGTGGGTCTGGGTCGTTACACGAAGTTACACGAATATTTAAAAATTATGGGTCTAAGCAAAAGCTAAACCTTATGCTTTTACGATACTTAAAAAAACATTAAAATGAAGATGACAGTGTTCGTAAACTACAAAGGAGAAAACATCAGCGTTTTAGAAAAATTAGGGTTTTTTTTTCATCGTACGGTTATTCACTCGATCTGATGGATCGATCAATTGTGTCGACCAACTTCCACTTAAAATCCGGGTAGAGGCAATTTTATTTATTTTTTTTTTTTGGTACTCTAATTAAGAATTTTAATTTTGCCCTTCACAAAATTATTAATTTTATAATTGGATCACAAATTTTAATTAGAATTAAATAGGGAAAGGGAATAAATAGACATTTTTCGCTTTTTTAATCATTAAATAAAATCGGAACTATTTGACGGTCTTGATTTGAGGCGGACCCACAAATGTCAGTATTTGTTGTGAAATTACAGTTCAGTCCTCAAAAGATTTGTAAAATTACCTTCATCGGCATCCAATGACAAACAGAAATTCCACATCTTAGAAAAGTAAGAAAAATTAATGGAATTCCTGAAACCATTGATGGATTTTGGTCCTTTCGCTGAATGTTCTTCACCGATGTGGTAACCCTAGGGTTTCTCTTCTTAATCCATTTTTTCCTCTGATTTCGCAGTTGAGTTTCAAATGCTTCGGTTTCTGTTCGATTGTAGGCTGTTCGAATGATTTCTGTGGCGGTTTTGTCGGTGAGCATTGCTTTGTTTTTTGGTGCTTTTGGTTAATGCGGCAGCGTGAATGTTAGTAGATTCATTAATTGTTCTTTGTTGGTTGACTTGACTGTATTAGTGGAATTCCCTAGGTAGGATTAATGAGTTTTGTAATCGGCTTTTATGACCTTAGCAAGATTTCGTGACTGATTGTGGTGATTCTGAAGCTTAATTTCTGATTCAGAGTCCAGGAATTGGTAGCTGAGTTCGATATTTTTATCTGTACTGGTTTTGAATTACACTCTCCGATTTGTATTATATTGTTCGGCGATGGAGGACGGAGAGCTTGATTTTTCGAATCAGGAAGTGTTTTCGAGTCCAAATATGGAGATTCCGAGCAGTTGTTCAATGGATGGTTTCTTTGATGAACTTTTGAAGGACACTCATACTTGTACTCACACGCATACTTGCAATCCACCGGGCCCTGACTACTCTCATACTCACACATGTTTTCATGTCCACACTAAGATTGTCCCAGCTCCAAGTGAAGAAGACAAGGTTGTTACTGATGACACTGCGGAATCGACCGAGAAGAAGTCGAAGAAACGGCCGTTGGGTAACCGTGAAGCTGTTCGTAAGTACCGGGAGAAGAAGAAGGCTAGGGCAGCTTCATTAGAGGACGAGGTTGTTAGATTGAGGGCTTTGAATCAGCATTTGGTGAAGAGGTTGCAGGGGCAGGCAGCACTTGAGGCTGAGGTTGCTAGGCTTAAGTGTTTGCTTGTGGATATTAGGGGCAGAATTGAAGGGGAGATTGGTTCTTTCCCATATCAGAAAGCTGTTAATCCTAACTTGGCTAATCCAAGCATCCCTGGTGCTTATTTGATGAACCCGTGTAATGTCCGGTGTGAGAATGATCAGATTTACTGCCTCCATCCAGGGGTCGATGGTAGCAGAAGCAGTGAAGGTGCTGTGATAAATGGACAGAGTTTTGGTGCTTGTGAATTTGAAAATCTTCAATGTTTGGCTAGTCATGGCTTGACATCGGAAGAGCTACCCGGGTGTGGACTACGGAATGCTGTCTCGAACGATATTTCTTCAGAAGCAATGAAGAAGAAAGGTAAAAACTGAGGGTTGTTCCATCTTCTATGATGTGTTTTGAGTGATCAATTGGATGAAGTAGAGTTAATTTTGCTGATGATCCTCTTTTTTTCTCTCATTGTTTGTTTTACAGTTCATGTTTCACTTGATTCATTGTTCGTCTCGCCTTTTGAGTTTAAGAAGCATGTGCAATAGTCTGTATAGCTGATTGCCATTTCCAACTTACAGTCCTTTTTATATAGTTTGGATTTGTGTATGTTTCGATCCTCGTTTCGGATATCTAGGCACGGGACATCGAGGTCCTGAATAGGTTGCTTAAATCCATGCATGACTTCGTGCTTTATCTGCCTCTGCGATGTAATGTCTAAAAGTTTAATGTTCTAATTTTGTTACCATAGAAAGGATTGTCTGTAATTGTAAACTTCATGTGTATTCATAATCTCCTGTCAATCCACCATCACATGACTTAGGATTGTTCTGCGTAGCACTACAAATTTGGTAGAATAGCCTTGCATTAGAATGGCTTTGCAAGTTCTAAGCCTATCGATTACTCCTGAATATAACATTATAAATTAAGAACTCATGGATTTGATGCTTATGAATCTGCCCGGGACTCTGATCCTATTTGTCTATGTTTTTGGAAAGATGTCTTTTTTCTCTCAAATGAGCTGATACATTTGACCCTGTTCAGGAAAACAAACCATAAGCACTTGAAAAGTCATTCCAAATCGGCCATTATTATCATATGAAAGTAACTAGGTGCTTTTATATAAGTTGGTAACTCTTTATTTTTTCCCTTTTCTTATTAGGAGGAAAACGTAAAGAGACATGAACCTGATGAACTGATCAGTCAAACATCAACATCTACACTCCGGCAATGCCTGTAGGGTGGTGCGTATACCTCAGTCACTGCAACATCTGATTATCTTCTCGTTATCGATCTTCTCTCGACCCATTTGAGGTACTCGAAAATGGTAGAGCTTCTTCATATGTAGCACTCCGGATTCTATACACATCTTCAAATGTTGAGAAGTGATATTGAGTAGAGCTTAGCAGAGTTGTAGTGAATGAAAGTAGGGCAGAAGAAGTGAATGGCTCCATTTATATTAGCTTTGTACACCATTTCATTTTGGCCTGATCTCTATGGAGACTAACAGAAGGCAGTGTGTCCAATAATATTAGCTTTGTACTCTATTTGATTACAGTTCATAATAAACATTCTAAACATTTTCTTCAA